TCCAGAGAGACACAGTTGCTCTTGAGTACTTTAGAGAGGTCCCTAACTGCAGATTTTCCCATCGCAATACGTTTTTTTGATTTCCTGGTTACTGGTGCCAAGAGTGTTGACCGTGGAGCCAAGCAAACTGAAGCTGTGAACAATCTCAATCTCTTCACCATCCATCCTGATGCTACCGATTGGTCCAGTGGTGAGAAGATAAAACTTCATTCATCTCACATACTTTGGCCTCATTGCTAGGAGAGGGTAGTACTTGGAGAGGAACATCACAAGAAGAGAGGAAAAGAGTTGAAGACCTCCACCAAACAGATTGACATAGTGACTACAGCAATAGTTTCAAGTATGTCAAACACTGTGAGGATGGTACAGGATAAGACAGGATTCAAATCTGTGTTGTTGCACAGGATAGGATAGGATAGGATTCAAGTGTGTGTTGTACTTGACTCAATAGCACCAAAATAATTACATTCCAAATAATTTTACATGAATTCCATTGGGAAAGTGTACTGTCAGAGAAACCTCTTCAAAGTACTGGAGAACAACGATGTCAGTCTGGAGACTGAGGTGTGCCTGATACAGGCCATGGTCTTTGCAATCATTTGGTATGCATCAGAGAGCTGGACAACGACCAGAGATTATAGAAGGAGAGCTGATGCCTTTGAGCTGTGATGTTGGAGAAGAGTATTGAATAAATCATGGACTGCAAGGAAAACAAATAAATTAGTCCTGGAGAGGGTGAGAACAGGCTACTCCTTGGAGGCAAGGATTCTGAAGCTCTGTCTGACATACTTTGGACATGTTGCAAGGTTGGATCAGTCCTTGGAGAGGGACATCATGCTTGGAAGGATGGAGGGACAGTGCAGGAGAGGAAGACCCTCAGTGAGATTGATTGATTCGGTCACTGAGGTAATGGGAATAGGTGTGATGGAGACATGATTGGCAAGGGCTTGATTTAGGGCTGTTGAACATAGTGTTACTGTGAGTTGCAGGCGACTTGAGAGCACATAACAACAACAACAACAGCAATAACAACAATAACTTACACATTTTGCTGTTGATATGTGTTTTGAATCTTTACGTTGGAGAGAATTGCTTAGTCATCATCTGGAATTTAAAGCGTATTTTCATATCTGTCATGTTTTTTTTTACTGATTGCTCTTGAGCCAATATAATATACATTTTCAGTAAGCTTTCCTGAAATAGAGTTGATTGTGATAGGGAACTGTTCTAAATTTCCTCATTTCCGCCTTTTGTGTTTTACGCTTCTTATTTCTCTATTGTTTTGCATATTGCTATTATTCTTGGGTTTGGGTTTGGGGTTTGTTGTTTGTTGTTGTGGTTTTTTTTAATGTGTTCTAGAGTCAACTATGACTCACTGTTACCCTGTGAACACTTATTTAATTCTTCTCTTCTCTTTAATTTATTGTCCATTTTTCAGATGGATAGCAAGTGATTTTTAAAGATGATGATTTGTATTAGATGGTATGTTTCTTTTCATTGATTTGATAATGATTAGTCTTTAGGCTGACATCGATACTCATCAGCAATTTGGAGAGGTCCTTAACAACAGGTTTTCATTATTCATTTTTAAATCATAATTGACTTGTAGCTGGCCCACCAGCAGGTTGTCAGAAGCTATACATTGCACAGGAGGAGATTGTCCATCTTTTTCCATAGAGCAGCTGGTAGATTCAAGCTGCCTCCCTTTGAATTAACAGCATAACTCCTTATAAGTATAATAATTACATGACAGTACTATGGAATTATGAGCATGCTTTAGTGAAACAGAGTTGGATACTCAGGATCTCAGTGTCCAAAGATTGCTATACCTTTGAGTTTTCAGATGGGGACAGTGATGAAGGAAAAAAGTGCTAATTATCTTAGATGTGCCTGAGATGAGACAACATATCTCTGTATAAATAAAATGTCTACCCAGATGTACTGGGCAAAATGAAAAACCCCAAGGCCTTTTTAGGTTTTATATCAGTCTTAGACTGAGAAGTGGGAGGAAGAGGAACTCCTCTCCTCTTCGCTGCATGTGCCCTGAGTGCATCAATCACAGTTCTTCTGTAAGATGGAACAGAAAAGCACAAAAGGAGAAAAAGTAAGATCTCAAACTGTCTGTATTCTCAGCAATTTTTAGTTGGTGTTGTTGTTACGTACTCTGAGTCATAGAGGACTCATAGCAACCCTATGAACAAAAGACCTGAACATTTGTATAACTTTCGTCATTTCTCCAAGTTCGTAGAGTTTCTGGAGGCAAGCTATTTCATAAGTGGATGCCACTCCTGCTTCCAAGCTTGTTTTAATCTGGAAGCTCCACCAAACAATGTCCACCATGACTGACCATTATCACATTTGACACATCAGTGTCCCAGTGGTTAGCATCACAGCAACCGCAAGTTACTTCCGTACAACAAATAGGCGGACCAGTGCTATACCACTTAGAAGAATGGTTGACCAAAAATAATTAAAACCAGGCCTGGGGGCTGCAGATTAAAATTTCCTACC